AGATGCCTCGTTCCCAACTTAAGAAAAAAATCACAGTGCAACACGAGGCCACTTTCCACGTATTAGAGTAAGAAAATACTGAGGTTTCACCATGCACTGTCTCGGCGGGATGGGAAACAGGTGCCTCGGGGGGTGTGGCGAGTTCAAATAGCACACTTTCCTTCCGCTAAAAACGCATCGGCCTTTGACCCAGAGATGCTTCCCGGAACGTATCCGAAAACCTGCTTGCACGTGCAAGCAAATGAGGGGAGCATCGCAAGACCACCGGGACAGCACAAGGTCACAAGTGCCCACCCACCGGCGGCCCGTGCACGCTGCAGGCACCGCGCGCGAGGGTGGTCCTGAGACAGAGAAGAGCAGGGCAGAAGACGGAGGTTAGGAAGCCATCACACACGACACAAACGGGCGCCTGGATGTGCGAAGAACACCCTGGAGAGACCCAGGGACCGAAACAGTCCTCACCCTCGTGCAGGAGCAGAAGGCAGGGCAGGGCGGGAGGAACGACCCTCAGGAACTCCCGAGCGAGCGCTCTGCTGTGTCCCTACCATGCACGTCACATATTCCACGCAACCCTAACAAAGTAGTGGACACATCTGCACGGCCACCAAACCCCCAGGAGGAAGTGGAGGAGGAGCTCGCCGATGGTGGCACCCAGGGCAGCCAAACACCGAAGTGGGTGACCCTGAGCACCTGGGCCACGTAACCCCATCTCTGCCCGTGGGAAAGGAAGGTGGGCACTCAGGGCAGTCTCCAGAGAACATGCCTGTGACCACCTGGCCATCCACGATCACGTGTGGAGGGTCCCAGCAGGATGTTCGTGGCCTGCCCGGGATGGCCTGTGGCAGCCACACGTGGAACCCGTGGACGGACTTATGGGGCAGGGTCCCCGGACAATGACCTATCAGCCCCATACCTCCCAGAACCATTAGGCAAATAAGGCAGCCCCCGCCTGCACAGGTACTCGGCAGCCTGCGTCACTTGATCAGCGTGTCTGGGCCAGGGGGCATCAGAGACAGTCGGAAAAGCCCAGAGGACCGTACCCACAATTAGCACCTATTTCCTGCTGGCCTCTGCCCCAGGATGTGTGTCCTTGATGTGACGTTAGAACGCAGCCTGACAATGAGGCAGGATGCTCTTCAGACACGTGAAGCAGTGTGGCCACCTGCTTCCTTGGAAGTGGGGGGAGCCTGGAGACAGCTTGTGTACAGGAAGTGGAAGAAACGGCGACGGGAGCCAAGTCACAGACGGGAGCACGCAGCAGGCAGAGAAGTTACTGCAAAGCCTCACGGCACAGTGGCCATCAGCACCTAGTAAGAACCAAGCCCCAGGAAGGAGGCACCGGAGCGGGAGGAAGAGCAGGAGAACATTTTGCTTGGTCGTACAAGCTGGAGTGGGTCCCTGGGAAAACGCCACTTCGACCTGACAAGCAGCTCACCCACAGCCACTGTTTGCAAGACCACAGAGGCGGCCACGGCCAGAAGCCAGAGAACGCTGGGGCTTCCTGTTAAAAAGCTGGGACACCCGGCAAAGACACGAGCAGAAGCTGGCGTCACTGCTGGCAGGGGCCCATAGAGCTGACAGTGGTAGGGACACCGATTCTAGAAGCTGCTCAACGGAAGTGGGTCTTGGGTTGACGGCCCGTGCGGGTGGCAGGAACACCTTGTCAAGACAGGTTGACATCTTGACAAAAGCCTCCATGGTGTGACAGGTAGCAGGCCCCTAGCTACAGCAGGTGAAACCCTGAGGGGACCTTGACCCAGGGGAACCCCCCCCCATGATAGGGCTTCAGACGGTGGAGTGCAGGCCTGACCGGGGCTGTCATGGGGCCACTCTGGACGCCCCATACGGCCACGTTCGGGCAGATAGGAACACATGGGAAGCGGTGACTGGCTGCTGGCTCAGTTTCTGGCTACGAGGCTACGTGCTGCAGACGGGGCTCAGGCCATCCAAAGAGGGGGTGTGGGCAGAAAACGCGGAGGGGGAACCAGCTCAACCAGGTGGATGGGTGTGAAAGGCTTGAGGAACAGGTGGAAAAAAGGAGAGACAGGGAGATTTCCACTAAGCGAGAGAACACTCCCCCCACACCTCAATCCCCTCTCTCTGCCTCGAGGAGTTCAAACCTAAGCGTGACAACTGTGATTAGAACAGGAAGTGCTCCAATACAGGCCACCTGTACCCCTCAATGAAAGCATAAAAAAGCCAGAGATGTGAACACTGACTGGCACAGGGCAGGGCAGGACCCTGAGGTGGCCATCCAGGGTGTGTGTGGGACTCAGAACCGCTCATGGCTCGTGGGTCTCGTGTCCAGGACTGCCCACAAGAGACAGGGATGGCCCTACGGCCTGGGCGTGAGCAGGAAGGAGGGACACCTCCCAGGCAGGAGACGAGGAGGGTGAAGTCCTGAAGCCGCCCCACATGGCACACACCGGAGGGGCCCCGGTCCCGGCTTCAAGTGGGGGGCAGGCCAGGCTGCCGCAGAGCCAGCTCCCCCGGACGGAGGGCTGCGCCCCACCTTCTGACGAGGGAAGGCATCTGGTCTCTCCTGGGCTGTGGCCTCAGTCCCTGCTGGATGGCCCAGCAAGCAGACCAAGAAGGCGGCCCTGCAGGGAACACCCGGCCACGTTGGCACAGAAACCTGAGAAGGACCCATGTGGACAAGCATGTGCCCAGCAGCCCAGAAGGGACGGAGCGTGGGCACACGCAGAATGCGCCCCTTCCATCAGACCCCCTGGACATCCTCTTGAGGTACCTGCACTGTTACCTCATTTAGAGAACTTAAAAAAAAATTTCCATTAAAGGGGCGCCCGGGCAGTTCAGTCATTTGAGTGTCTGACTTCATTTGTCTGACCTGACTTCAGGTCATCAACTCGCTTTCATGGGTTCGAGCCCCACGTCGGGCTCTGTGCTGACAGCTCAGAGCCCGGAGCCTGCTTCAGATTCGGTGTCTCCCTCTCTCTGCCCCCGCCAACCCCCGCTCACATTCTCTCTCAAAAATTAATAAAGGTTAAAAAAAAAAAAAAAAGAAAGAAACGTTTATTAAAAAAGTTACTTAATTTTTTTTAAGTAGGCTCCACACCCAACACAGGGCTTGAACTCAGGACCTAGATCAAGACTGTGTGCTCTCTATTGACTGAGTCAGCCAAGTGCCCCAAAAGTTAGTTAACTTTTAAAAATTACTTTTAAAATTCTGTTCATAAACAAAGACAAAAAACCCTTTGTAAAAAAAAAAAAAAAAAAAAATGGGGGGACGCCCGGGTGGCTCCGTTGGTTAATCATCTGACTTCAGCTTAGTTGACGATCTCACGGTTGAGTTCGAGCCCCGCGTCAGGCTCTGTGCTGTAAGCACGGAGCCTAATTTGGGTCCTCTTTCCTTCTCTCTCTGCCCCTCCCCAACTTGCATGCGCATGGGCTCCCTCTCTCTCTCTCTCTCTCTCTCTCTCTTTCCCTCCCTCCATCAAGTAAAAATACACTTTAAAAAATTTTCTTTCAAAAAAAAAAATTGGGGCACCTAGCTGGCTCTATCTGTAGAACATGTGACTTGATCTCAGGGTCATGAGTTCAAGCCCCACGTTGGGTGTGTCACCTACTTAAAAAATACGTTAATTAATTAAATTAAATAAATATGTCAGCGTGTGGACCCTTAATTTTAAAAGGAGGAGAAAAGACACGGGAAGGTGATGAAACTGTTAGCTGTGGTCACGAACCACAGCAAAGGCAGGGAATGAGAACTCCCACTCTGTACCGAACAGTGCTGAGAAAACATTTCATTTTTGTCAAGAAAGTGTATTTTGTAACATTTTTAAACGTTTATATATCTTTGAGAGAGGACACGCACAATGCTCAAACAGGGGAGGGGCAGGGAGAGAGGGGACAGGGGATCTGGGGCAGGCTCCACGCTGTCAGCACAGAGCCCCAAACGGGGCTTGAACTCACGAACCATGAGATCATGACCCAAGCAAAAGTCAGATGCTTAACGGACGGAGCCACCCGGGCGCCCCTATTTTATAATTTTATAAAGTTAAAAAGAGGGAAAAATCGTTGGCCATCACCCTACAAACCATGGTCAGTACAGTAAACACATCTCTCCCTGCACACCAGCATTACAACTAAGGCTTGAGTGAGTGGAAGGTTGAAATGTGACTTTAAATCTTTTCTTCCTAGGAAACAGAACAAGCACGGCTTTTTGGTTTCTATTATGGGGGTGGACTCCTGTATGATTCAAAGTCGTAACTTCCAGAACACCAGACCCACTGGAAATATAGTTATAAACTACTTTCTACAACATTCCAGGGGCGCCAGGGTGGCTGTCCGTTGAGTGTCTGACTCTTGATTTCGGCTCAGGTCCTGATCTCAGGGTCGTGAGTTCGAGCCCCACCTGGGGCTCGGTGCTGACAGCAGGGAGCCCACTTGTGATAGTCTCTCTCTCAAAATAAATAAATAAGCTTTTAAAACCAGTAACGAAAACACTCCAAACAGCTAATGTCATATTTTAGTTTCAGCTTTTCTCTCATTTTTCTTGCTTGAGACAAGAGCCGAAGTACCCCTTCCCCATCACCACAGGGGTGGGCACGATGCCGAAGCGTCAACCGGCAAGGCTCTCTGGGGCCGGGCTCGAGTGGAACGGCGCTCCTGTCGGGCCGGCTCCCTCATGTGTGTCCTGGGAGCTCCCCGCCAGACAGTCTCTTGCGCATGAATCCCCACCTCAGGTTTGCCCCTGGGAAACCCGGGCTACGACTGAGTCTAGCAGAGAGAGCGGAGTCCTATGGAAAGGTGACGTCAGAATCATCTGAGGGGGAGGCCCAGGGAGGTGGACTTTTCGAGTTCCTGAGAACAGAGCGCATAACTGTGAAAAACAGCACCCGACTCGGAGCGCTCCAGCTCCAACCAGGAAGCTCGAAAACAGCAGTGAGGACGCTGAGAGCCCGAGGCCTGGGGGTCGCTTTCTTTCCTGGCCACCTTCATGCCAAAAGGGCCCACCAGGAGGCTCCTCGCTCACCCACCTGCACCTGCTGCCCAGAGGTCTCCTCCATCCTGCTGTGGCTGTCATCACCGCCGGCCCCATCCTCTCCCTCGGCTGGGTCATCCTCACTACTGTCGCTGCCGGAATCCTGCAGGCCTGAGAACACGCTCTCCTCGCTCTCAGACAGGCCAGAATCACTGCCATCCCGGAGGCTGGC